TGGGGTTATCTAGGATGTATCTGAGTATCGGGTCTCTGTTTGGACTGTAGTAGAGTAGAACTTGTTTGTGGGCCTGACCCACCATCATTTTTTAGGTATTCGTTAGGAGTAGGGATTGTTCGTGCTGAGTAGGGATCATCTACTTCACTCTTTCGGATTATTTACTTAGGAGTTCATTTATCTTTCAGTTTTCTGATGTAGACAGTTATTGCTGTCATTTGTTTAGTTTTGGTTTTCCAAGGGTCCATAGAGTATGGATTCTCGAGTTGTATAAATTGGAGGATTAGTTATATCAGAAGAATTTGTTAATGAAAATTTATTCTGAGGTTTTATTAATGGATTATCATTTTAGTTTCTTTCAGTCATTTATTTATTCCTGTTATCTATTTTATATTCTGTGTTCGATTATTGTCATTTGTTTTTTATATCCTCGGGCGTTCGGGCATGGGCCTGCCAACCCGCATCTGGAAATTCGGGGGTATCACAAAAACTAAGAGAGGGAGAATTAGGGTTTGGCTAGGAACAAGGGTTGAATAAAGGAGGGGTTATTGAAGCTTGCACGTGGGTTGAACCAAGAGCAATGGAGGGTCTGTGAAAGCAACCAAGGTCGTCAGAATAATCAGTGAAGAAGGTTTAAGGTTTCAAAACTGAAACCAAAGGCAAGTTTTTTCTCTTACTCCTTCCCTTAGACTTGTATTCTGTGCATGCCTAGATAGTCTCCAGGATTTAAACGGACATTAAATTGATATTGTATGCATGTTAATTCAGAGTTTAAACTATATTACGGGTTGTTAATTGAGGTTGATTTATTGTATCAATTGTTTCGAATTATGTATTTTAATTGTTGTTAATGATGCATATTGGATTTTATGAGTTTCTAGGATAATTTGGGACACAGATTAAATCCCTAAGAACCTTAATAAAACATTACAGAGGGTTCTTCACATTGCCAGAGGCGAGGAAGATGATGGGTTTCGGCATACGGCTCTCTGGAAGATAGAGCCGGCTCTCTAAAGGAGGGAGCAGACTCTAGGAGAGAGAACCGGCTCTCCATCATGGAAAGCTGGCTCCCTCCTTGGGGGAGGCAGTTCCCCTACTGGCAGTGCACCTACGGGTGTAATTTTGGTATTTTTGGAACTTCAGGGGCTAAAATGGGATTCTGAACTTGAATGGGGTGTTTTAAATGATTTAAATAATTATGTTAAAATTCCAGAATGGTTAATCTATGCTATTATGCTAAGATATTAGACATCATGAAATTTTAATACTGATTTGCATGCTGTCAAGGATTATGGAAGATTTAATTTCTAGTTGTTATTCTAGCAAATTAAATGAATTTATATGAAAGTACTTGCGGAATATTTTAGTATGATGTGCTCAGTTTCATATCTGATTTTCATTATATCGTTCTCTAGATTTTAAATTGATGAACTACTTTATTTGGTTTTATCAATTATTGGATTTTATGGATTATATGCACCGGTATGGGACGGTGGCATATTAGGGACAGATTAGCTCACAACGCTAAGTCCTACCTATTCTAGAATAAGGGAATGGATTAACTATAATGTTAAGTCCTACTTATAATTCGTGTCAGGTCAACGAATAGTTGAATGACATTACCTTGGTTTGGATGGATTTATATATATATAATTATGGTACTATGATATGTGCTTAAGTCTTAGGATCATGGTTAGTGTGCGTTCTATTTAGTGTGCACTGGTAGGTCTAGGTACACATGCCCACTTTAGGTGCGATTTGCATGTTACCTTCTATTCAGGTTGAGACAGACCTATAGTCCAGTGAGCGTCCTATAGTGTGTATATATATTTATATGGATTATTTAGTTATTGTTGAGTTGTCTAAGATGTATCTGTGTATCGGGTCTCTGTTTCGATTGTAGTAGAGTAGAACTTGTTCGTGGGCCTAACCCACTATTATTTTTTAGGTGTTCGACAGTTCCAGGCTTAGGGCTTGTTCGTGCCGAGCAGAGACAGTCACTCACTATTCCGACTATGTAGGACTTTGCTTTATGTTTTAGTGTTGGTTTTCTTTTTAGTTCAGTTTTAAATTACAGTTAGGATATTATTAGGGGTCCACTAGATGGTTCCCAAGTTGTAATAATATTGGAGGTTTTGGAAAGATTGAAATATTTTATTAATATTTTAAGAATTATTATTTAGATTGTTCTTAGCTTAATTATTTATTCTTTATTTCTTTTGTACTCATGCTTAATTATTTATTCTTTATTATTTACATACTAAATTCTTTGGTATCCCTCGGATCTGTGCTCGGACTTGATCACCCGTGGCTCTAAAATCGAGGGGTATCACAACATATATAGAATATAATGAAATAATTTAAGGGAAAAAATTTAAGGAAACATATATAGTATATACTGCCTCCGTCTCTGTTCGTTAGCCTTCGATCAGAAATAATTGACGGAGAACAACAATTGCATCCAAAGTCTTGTCATTCTTCCTCAAATTCAACAAGTTTGAAGAATCACCAAACAACATTGTTCAATATCAAGGTTCGTCAGCCCTCGATCAGAAATCGTTGATAGTCTTCCTCAATGACAAATACTTGAAGAAGACTCTTGACAACCCAGTTCAAGATCAAGCTCTAATAGCTCTTAAATCCGACCAACAAAGGAAATCAAATTAGATGACAACTTCTTTCTTTTGTGAAGATATACAGAGAATTGTAGTCATCAATTTTTATAAATTAATAAAATAATTATTTGCTCCATATTTCGTTTGCATATACGAAATTTGTGTGCACAATAATAATAATAAAATAGTAGTAGTAGTAGTAGTAATAATTATTAAAATAACAAAAATAAATTGCTTAGATGCAAGATATGTCAATCAATTTTAGAACCCATGCGAATTAACAATAAGAAAAATCAAAATGTCAATAAGAATAATAATAACTAATAATAATACTGGTAGTAGTAATAATAATAAAAATTTAAAATAATAGTAAAAATAAATTACTTGATTAGTTGCTTGATGGATCTATAACTTATAAACAACTTTTGTAAGCTCATAAATTGTAAATAATAATAAGGGTTAAATGCAAAAAAAAACCCCCTAAAGTATTGTCATTTTGCAAATAACCCCCCTGAACTAAAAATTGCCCCTTGAACTATTGATTTGTTGCAATTAAAGACAAATCCATCATAAAAGACTATTTTACCATTTCTCATTAAAAATTTTATTTCTTATTAAATTATTTTTATTGTCTTTTCTCTTATGTAAATATTAATTACAATATTTACCTTAATTTTATTATTAGTATCAATTTATCATAAAAATAATAAAAAATAGATAAATAATAAAATACTTTTGAAAAAAAATACCTTCTTTTCATGTCATATATTCATTAAAAATTAAAAAATTAATTAATTTTTTTTTTAAAATTATACTAAAATTTTTATTTAAATAATTAATTTAAAAAATTAAAGGTAAATTTATGCAAATTTAATGAAAAATACCTCATCAAATTAGTATGAATTTTTTCATAATTTATTTTGATAACACAAATATATTAAATGTAATTCAATAAGAAGGGGCATTATGGTCATTTAATGAAATATAGTATAGTCCTTGTGGTATATTACAACAAAATGAGATAGTTTAGGGGGTTTTATGCACATAATATAGTTCAAGAGGATTATTTGCAAATTCAAACATAATTTATGGGGTTTTTTTGCACTTTACCCTAATAATAATAACTATTAAAAAATTTATACGATTGTGTATTTTGAGGTAATGCCCAAATTATCCTTTTGAATGACTATTATACCACCATTTGCAAATAGTTTTAATGATTTTACTTAATTTATATACATTTCACGATTAGAAATTAAGTTCCAAGTCCCAATTTACAAAATCAATTACTTCTAAGACTTAGAGAACCTAATACATTTTTTTTGAGTCCCAATTTATATTTATTTTTTTCCCTGGCTAACACAAAGGAAGCTAAGAAACAAAATTTTTTTTTAAAAATCTATCCCTCAATGGATTGGATCAACCAAATGTCCCATTCTACATATGAGACTTTTGAACTAGGAGCCCATTTATTAAGCGAATGGGGCTACCTTGGTTACATATTCTTGGAGTCGAAGAAAGAGAGAACGTTGGCATTTTTTATTTTGGTCCAAAGACGGAACATTTCACATCCTCTAGGGCTATAGAAGCAACAGTCCCCCCTTTTACATCAACTTCATTGTAGCCCCAATGAATCAGGAGCTTCAAACCCCTGAGAGCAATTGATTTTGCTGCAACTTCAGCACCTGTGACATGAGAGAAGGAATTCAAATTGGATTTTACTCAAAATAACGAACATCAGTACTTAATGTACACTCTCCAAAATTTCATGAGGATCTCATTTAGAGTTGTTAAAACACCAAACATTCTTCCCCTTCCAAATTTGCCACAGAATACTGAGATGTCAACCAAATCCAGAACTCATGTCAATCCTCAGAGGGATGTTTCGATATCTAGTTGTAAATTTTCGGAGTAGGGGAGCTTGTAGTGGCTGTATTACCATAAAAAGAACAATATTTCCCTTTTTATGTCAATTTCCACGATCTCTTCCACTTTAAGATGAAATTATTGAGGCAAACTGCATCCATGGAGATGGGGACTAATAGCTTCTCATTCACTCAGAGTAAGAGTAACCTGATAAGCACTCTCGACTGTAAAGTGTACACCTTCCATTTGGTGTCAATCCCCTATACCATTGAAATATCGAATCTTCAACACCCAACTGTCTCAATAGGGTTTGTTGCACATTTTGGTTGAAGATAGCTCTGATCACATTCTCTTTCCACTTTTGAGTCTTGATTAATCAAGTTCTGCTACATAGGTTACTGATGTACTTGGAGGAGGAATTGTTGAAACAAAAAAATTGCCATTACCAATTAACAGTCCAACATTTAATTAAAACCATTTACGGTCATGGAATACTCAAGACCCAGGTCCATGCAAAAAGTATATTTCCACATCATATCTGGAGACACTCAGATTAGTTGGGAACAAAATCTCTCAAATTCTTAACATATATGAAAAGCGATCATCTGAAAACGAAAGATTATATTCTAAACTAATTGCTTAAGCACAAATAAATATGAGTAATGAACTATGTTATAGCGACAGAAGTCAGTATCACTAGAATTCACTTTTATATTGACTCCATCCATACAAGTCATCTTCACTGTCACAAGACTTCAAAGGACTCTGGACTTCCAATAAGTCGGGTTCCATATCCTCAACTTTTTCCTCAACCTGCTCATCAGATTTTGCTACCACCTCCTGCACACATAAATCATTATATAGTTAGAATCAGGTCATTACTACTAAGACCAAACTATTTTAAGTATGAGGCTTCAACTAAAGAACGATGTTACCAGCCATAAATGCATTGAGAAGAAATATAAGATACTTAAAAAGTGAAGAGAGGCAGAAAACAATAGGCCACAAGCATAAGCATAAACTAATTTAGTCCAAGCCAACATTTTGCATTTAAATGGATTTCATGTTGGATTACCTAACTTTTCTAAAAACCAGTTCCTTTACCTATTTATTCGGCTTCACAGTAAGAACTGTGTCCATAATAAAAGGCCAGAGCCAAAATCTCCGTATAACCCAATTTCTGACCTTCCTACGAATGCAACTTTTGTAATGTATTGCCCGCATATATGTCGGGAATTGTGTCTCAAATTCCTAGTTTAATCAGGTTTCTATTTTAAAGTCGTATTGTGTTAGGAAATTTCTTGCAAGGCAAGTCTTGGGCTCCAAAAATGGTAATCCTTGTCCAACAAGGAATTGAGTTTGGAACTCCATAAATAGGCACCTAGGTTATGGGTTGAGACTTATGAGATTGAGAGAGATGTAGTCTCGTGAGGGAGTTGATGGGTAGAGGTGATGGGTTGGTAGAGTAGAAAAAACACCGGTGGCACTGGTAGCAAGGAAATAGGCTCGTGGAGTGGTACATGGTGAAAAGACATGTACGTGATGTTGGTACTCTATTGTTGTAATATATCTACGAATCATAGTGGAATCTCTTCTCATCCATGGACGTAACCCTGAGTTTGGATGAACCATGTATATCTTGTCTTTGTGTGTGATTGCTTTGTTGACTTTCATTGGATCTGTGTGTTCGTGCGCTTCCATTGCCCCAACAATATATGATATCGTTTTAGCCAAAAAGTCATACAAATTGAATAATAATGATATTGTTTATACAAATTGAATAATTACTTTAGAAAAAAATCTACCAGTATGCATTGTGATCTGGATTGAGAATAATGCAATTGAGAAAGGTTGAGAAGCTATCGGTTAATGTACCAAAGCATGGGTCCCTAGAAACTTGAATGGGATGGCACAATTTAAAAGGATGTCGTTACCTTGAACAGATCAAATGACTTTACGGAATAACTTCATCAAAATTCTCCAAAAAAGTTAAAAATAAAAAATAAAATTCTTCACAATACATCTTAGGGGAGATCCACTAACAGTGATAGGAAGTAACTAAGAGTTCGTACTTTTATTAGGGGAGATCCACTAACAGTGATAGGAAGTAACTAAGAGTTCGTACTTTTATGAATGTACTATCCAGATATATAGTCCGCAAATGAGTATATGTAATTTTCCACGACAATCTTAAAATCACACACCAGCTATTTACCCAGTACAACAGTAAGAAATAATTAAAGAGCCATACATTAGTTTCGGGAGTCAACTCCACCTCCTGCTCTCCTGTCAAGCCATATGAGTCATCTGCATTGTTTTCTTTTCCCAGAGCTGCAACTTGCTGCAGGCGCTCAATTACTAGTTCAAAATGGGAATGATCTGGAAGAAAAGTCAAATAATAATTACAATTTACAGCAAATTCCAACTCACCACATTTAACATTTAATAAAGGTTCCAATTGAAAAAACACAGTTATATCCTCAGACTAAATTTTGGTGGGAATCCAGAAACTGCAATCTTGCAATCTACTTGTCTCAGCGTATTTTACCACGTATGGTGAACCCACCAGACCTCTACTGAGTTAGATGGATGTTATGGTTAAACAACCTGGTTGTATCTATAAGAATGTGCATCATTTTTTTTTTCCTGGGTGCAATATCAAATATCAAACACTTTTCAAAGGTTGATTTGCCAAAGGCAAGTGTTACCTTTTTATAAAAAAAATTTAGTCTCCCTTCCAGTTCTTGTTTGTTTTTTGAGGTCCCTATGTCGCCTGGTATGCTGTTCATTTCTATAATCTGAAAGAAGAGGGAGTATGGTACTCTATATAGTCTAAAATGTGTTGTTGTATATGTAGGTTTACATAAATCACACCAACTACAGGTGATGTGATGTTTTGGCCTGAATTTTTTTCGGTTTTTACCCGATTTTTTGACCCATTTTTCTCTTGCAGGTTTTGGACCTTGTTTAGGACTCATTTGTAGCCCGGTAGGTATATAAAGGCATTTAGGGTTTGGAATGGGATAACGAGAGAGCACTGAAAACGCAGGAAAGAGAGTGACAGTGAGAGTGAGAGGGAGAGAGCGAGCTAGGGTTTGAGGGTTAAAACTTGTAATCTCCTGTTTTTCTGCATAGTGAAATTTTTCATTGGATCTTCACTGTGGTGTAGGCTTATGCGTAACAACATAAATCTTTGTGTTCTTTGTTTGTGGTGTGTTTAGTTTTCTGTCCAGATTCATGATCTGTTCTTGGTTCGTCGTGTTTGCCTCAACAAACTGGTATCAAAGCTTTCAGCTCAAAGCTAGGATGGCAAACAAGTTTATGGAAATCGAGAAGTTCAACAGCATAAACGATTTAAACCAGTGGCGGGTTAGGATGCGTGCTCTGTTGATTTCAACATAGGTTATTCAAGGCATTGAAGGAGAAGGATGCACTGCCATAAAAGATTTAAGGATAAAGATAACGTTATGAAGAAAACGATTATGTTTTGCTTGAGTAGCGAGGTTTTGCGGGAAGTTTCTGGAGGGACTACGCCAGATGGGCTATAGAAAAAGTTGTAGGCCTGGTATATGACAAAATCTCTTGCGAATCGCTTGTATCTTGACGAGGTAAACAATATTATCATGGACTTGAGTAATACTAATTTTAAAATATCATATGAGGATCAGGCTATAATTCTGTTGCATTAGAATCACCCTCATATGAGAACTTTGTTGATACGATGATGTATGATAGAACTGTGTTGTCTATGGAAGACATGAAGACAACTTTGAATTCTAAGGAGTTGCACAGAAGGGTGTTTGAGAGCTACACAAAAGGTTCGGCAGAGGGATTCATTATTAGAGGGAGAATGAATCAAAAGAGAAAGTATTGCAACAGAGGTCGTTCTAAGTCTAAGAACAAAACGAAGGTGCTGAGATGTTACATCCATCACAACGAAGGGCACTTCAGAAAAGACCATCTAGAGCCTAAGAAAGGAAAGGTAAAATCCTTTGAAGCCGGTGAAGTGGCTGTTGTAGAGGGTAATGGTTCAAACTACGAGTGAATTTTTTATTCACATTGCTCGTATCACATTTGTCCAAACAGGGACTGGTTTAACTCCAATCGGTCCATTGACGGAGGGGAAATCCTAAAGGGGAACAATGTGCCATGAAAGGTTGTAGGTATCGATACAATTCGAATCAAGATGCATGACATTGACGGCATAGTAAGAACATTGGCAAGAAGAATTTGATTTCCCTAGGTATGTTGAATTCCATAGGGTGCAATTACAAGGCTGAAGGTGGAGTCATTCGAGTTTCAAAGGGTGCTCTTGTAGTGATGAAGGGACTAAAGCATCATGGTTTATATGTGTCGTAGGGTAGCACAATCACGGGTTCAACTGCAGTATCGCCCTCGGATCCAGATTCACATACTAGGCTTATGCGGTTTGGGCATATGAGTGAGGGGGGGATGGATGTTGGTTGAAAAACCAGGAATGCAGAGTGAAGTTTAATTCGAGAACCCATCGAGCCAGAGGTACATTGGATTATATCCATTCTAATCTTTGGGGTTCTTTTCAGGTTGCTTCACATAGTAGCGGTAGATATACGATGACGTTGATTGATGACTTATCTCATAAAGTGTGGGTTTATATTCTGAAGCACAAGAATAAGGCCTTTGTCATGTTCAAGCAGTGAAAGACCTTGATTGAGAAGCAGACTGGAAAGCATATCAAAGTCCTTGAGGACAGACAATGGCTTGGAATTTCGTGGCAAAGAATTTAAAATGAGTTCTGCAAGGATCACAGGATTGTGAGACACCGCACAATGACGAAAACTCCGCAGCAGAATGGAGTTGCAGAACAGATTAAAATAACACTGTTGGAGAGAGCACACCATATGCTATCCAATGTTGGTTTAGGCAAAGTGTTTTGGGCAGAAGTTGCTAGCACAACTTGTTACTTGCTGAACCGGTCTCCATCGATTGCTATAGACCGTTCTCTTACCAGTTATAGTGATCTGAAAAATATTTAGATGTCCTGTATATGCTCATGTCAATGAGAGGAAGCTTGAACCGAGGGCTAAGAAATGTATATTTCTTGGTTATGAGCCCGGGGTCGAGGGATACAAATTGTGGTGCCCATATGCTTCGCGAAAGAAATTACTTCTTAGTAGGGATGCAATCTTTCATGAGTCCGCGATGCTTGTTATGCTTACTGATAAGTGCTTAAATATGCACATTTCAACCCTTATCCTTGCATAAGTTAGCGCCTTAATCTATCTTTGTTTTCCCATTTTAGTCCTAAAGTGCTTTATTTCCCATTTTCAGGTACTTAGGGCTAATCCGAGCTAAATCCAGTGCTTAAAGGTTCATTTGAAGATTGTAGCAAAATGGAGCAAAGAAGGCAAGCTTGGGGCAGGATTCAAGGCAATTCGATCGATCAGATTGCATTGTGGCATCATTCGGATCGGTTGGAATCCGATCGATCGACCACTTGATCCGATCGATCAAGTTCGGGCAAATCAGCTGCGAACTTCCGATCTTCAGCCTTCTTCAAGAGAGCTCGGGGTGCAATTAAGGGATTGACCTTGCGTACAGGTTCTGACCAATTATAGAGCCCAAGAGTCAAGAATAAATAGGGATTGAAGCTCATTTTGCAAGGGGACTTGATTTGGATTAGAGCTTGGGTCCTCTATCTACTTTCTCTCTCTAGGGTTTGCTCTCAAGGATTGGAGAAGAAGTGTGGCTGAGCTTGGAGATGGAGTTTGAAGCTTCAAAGATGACATTAATACTCTCTATGGCCGGCTAACTTCTCTCTTAGGGCTTGGATGAAGCCCTAAGCTCAAGTATTCATGTCAATTGTATTCAATTTGGGGGAATAATTAGTATATGAATTGTATGATCTTGTGTATTCAATTTGGTTGTACCAAACATGATGATGCTTAAATTCTTCAATTGATCTTCATCTAATCTATATGTTGTCTTACGTTTAGATTGTTAATGATTAATCTCTACATCACTCACTCTTTGTAATTGTGGTTGATGATGGTCATGCAATAGTTTTAATTGGATATAATTGCATTAACTTGATGATTCATACTTAATCTTGATGGATTGTACCACACCTTTAGTTTAATTATAGTTATGTAGACAATTCATGCTTGATTTTGATGGTTCATGCTTGTTAGTGATGATTATAGTATTATCGTGCCTTTTGATGTGTGCTTGTAGCCACGTCTTCATTATACACACTTGTTTCCCCAAAATATGAATGCAATTGGTGTGATTACAAGGGCTTAGAGGTGAATTCCATGCCCTAAGCCTCTCTCCCTCCTATCTTCCTTTAACTTGATCATTGCTATACTCTAGTTGCATTTTTCGATAGTTTAATTTTAGCATTAGTTCTAATCAAACCAATCACTATCCTTTTGGTCATATGTTCATTGATGTTAAATTTGATTCAAGCCTATAGTCCTCATGTTCGATCCCTACTCACTTTGCTATACTTTGTGGTAGTGGTATATATAAATTTAAGATTGTTTGCTTCCACACTATACCACATTGTTAATCAAATCTAAATTGAAGTTGGAAGCCATCACTTACTCTGCAGGAGGAGGTATTTGATTCAACGAGAGCTCAAGATGTCAATGAGCGGGTGGTGCGTGTATATGATGTGTTTACAATGCATGTGTAAGTAATTGAAGTAGGAACTCTTTGGAGTTGAAGAAACTCGATTTTGGAGTGCTAATATCTAGCCAGCCTTGCAAGAATGCTATAGAATAGATCAGGCTTTACTCCTCCCTAATAAGCACGGGACACCTACAACATGTTACCAAAAAGAGAACTTGGCCTCTCACTACTACGAACATTTTTTCCCATAAAGATTTGATCATCTATAGCGAGTCAGTCATTTTTGGCCAACCGATTGGCATGACATCATGAACACTCCTTGGATTTGGTTTAATACTTGTGTACAACCCCTAGAAAGTTTCTATAGCAATCAACACGCATGTTACCATTAAAAAATTGGATTGTGGCGGATTGTGCAGTAGGCGCTCTCCTTTCAGATTTCGAGAACATGTGGTTGCGGGCTGAGGGCTTTCTGGAGAGGGTCCGTCCCTGGTGGGAAAGGTTTGGTGTGGCTGGCACCCCTAGTCATGTGCTAGCAGGCAGATTGCGTCTTTTAAAGGATAATCTTAAGACTTGGAATAAAGAGGTTTTTGGGAACCTTGAATGGAGGAAAAATCGGGTTCTTACTGAAATAGCGGCTATTGCTCAGATGGAGGGTCAAGGGGATTTGGTGGATTCTTTGAAGGCTAGGAGGGCGGAGTGCAAGGCAGAGTTTTCTGAGATTGCTGTCTTGGAGGAGATCTCGTGGAGGCAAAAGTCTCGAGCTTTGTGGCTTAAGGAGGGGGATCGAAACACTAAATTTTTCCACAGATTGGCTAATGCTCATAGAAGAGGCAATCATATAGGGAGGATTCGAGTCGAAGGGGTCATTTTTTGTAAGGAGGAGGAGATTCGCAAAGGATTCTCAGAATTTTTTGAGAATTTGTTCAACGAGTCTGTTGAGTGGAGACCTTTGCTCGAAGGGTTGCAGTTTGACTCCATTTCTGAGGAGGAGTGTTTGGGCTTGGAGTTGCCTTTTTCTGAGGAGGAAGTTCTGTTTGCTTTGAAGAGTTGCAATGGGGATAAGGCCCCAGATCCAGATGGTTTTACTATGAGATTTCTTCTTGAATGTTGGGAAGTGGTTAAAGGAGAGGTGATGGGCACTTTCCATGCTTTCCATTCTCGGGAATCTTTTGAGAAAAGCTTGAATGCCACATTCATTGCTCTCATTCCAAAAAAAGGAGGTGCTTTGGATGTTAGAGATTTTCGCCCTATTAGCTGGTGGGTTGCATCTACAAGCTGATTGCCAAGGTGCTTGCTTCAAGGTTGAGGAAAGTGTTAGATGGCATCATTTCGGACTCTCAAAACGCTTTTGTAGGAGGCCGTCAAATTTTGGATTCAGTCCTTATTGCAAGTGAGTGTGTGGACTCCAGATTGCGTAGTGGAACCCCGGGTGTTCTTTATAAGTTGGACATTGAGAAGGCGTATGACCATGTAAGTTGGAGCTTTCTTTTGTACCTGATGGGGAGGATGGAGTTCGGCGATAGATGGAGGAGATGGATTCATTTTTGTATTTCCAGTGCTCGCTTTTCGATCCTTGTTAATGGTGCTCCTACTGGTTTTTTCTCTAGTTCAAGGGGCTTAAGACAGGGAGATCCCCTTTCCCCCTTCTTGTTCTTGTTTGTGATGGAGGCCCTTAGTAGATTGATGAGAAGGGCTACCGAGTTGGGTCTTTTGAGAGGCTTCCGGGTGGGCAGGGAGGCAGATTCTCAGTTGGAAATCTCTCATTTGACGTTTGCTAATGACACTTTAGTTCTTTGTGATGCGAACGTTTCTCAGATTAGATATTTGAGATGTGTTTTGATTTGGTTCCAAGTTGTTTCCGGCCTTAAAGTGAATGTGGGAAAAAGTGTTTTGGTGTCGGTTGGGGAGGTCCCTGAGATTGAGGCTTTTGCTGATATTCTTGGCTGTCATACTGGTTCATTTCCCATTTCTTACTTAGGATTGCCTCTGGGAGCTCCTTCGAGGTGTGTGGGGATTTGGGATCTAGTGGTGGACAGATTTGAGATAAGGTTGGCGGGATGGAAGAAGCAGTATCTCTTCAACGGCGGTAGGGTCACGCTGATTAAGAGCACCCTCTCTTGTCTTCCCACGTATTTTATCTCTTTTTTCCAGATTCCCTCTTCAGTTGCGGAAAGGATAGAGAGGTTGCAGCGTAATTTTCTGTGGGGGGGTGGAGGGGAAAAGTTTAAGTTTCATTTGGTGAGATGGGACCAAGTTTGCAGGCCAATTCGCAATGGTGGGTTAGGTCTCCGTAAATTGGTGCCCTTTAATAAGGCCCTCCTTGGGAAATGGTTGTGGAGGTTCGGGGTGGAGAGACATCGGCTTTGGAGGAGGGTTGTGGCATGTCGTTTTGGGGAAATGAGAGGAGGGTGGAGTTCTTTGGCAGTTAGAGATCCTCGGGGGGTGGGGGTTTGGAAATTTATTCGGAAGGGTTGGGATGATTTTTCCAAGCACATTCGGTTTCGTCTCAAAGATAGGAGGAGGATTCGCTTCTGGGAGGATGTGTGGTGTGGAGATGTGCCTCTTGCCCTCGCCTTTCCTCAGCTTTACAGGATTGCTATGGATAAGCAGGCCATGGTGGTTAATTGTTATCATCTTGATAATGGGAGACTGGTTTGGGATGTTCGATTCAGGCGTTCCTTTCAGGATTGGGAGATCGAGGAGGTCATTCGTTTCTTGGAGTTGTTATATCGCCAGAGGATTGTGGAGGAGGATTCGGACTGTTGGTCTTGGATTGCAAACTCTCAGGGGAGCTTTGAGGTGAGGTCTTTCTTCAAGTGCCTCACTTTTGTTCCTGGAGTTAGTTTCCCTTGGAAGTCTGTTTGGCGATCCAAGGCTCCTCTTAAGGTGGCTTTCTTTGTGTGGACTTCGGTCCTGGGTAGGATTTTAACCCAGGATAATCTAAGAAGGAGAAGCCAGGTGGTGGTCAACCGTTGCTCTATGTGTCTTAGTGATGAGGAGTCTGTGAATCACCTTCTTATTCATTGCCCTTTGGCTAGAGAGTGTTGGGGTTTGATGCCTGGCTTATTTGGTGTTTCTTAGGTTATGCCTGGATCTGCTAGAGGGTTGATTGAGGCGTGGAGAGGTTGCCCTGTGGGGGCTCTCAGTCAGGATGCGTGGAGAACTACGCCGCTTTGTGTGTGGTACTGTTTATGGCTTGAAAGGAATAGGAGATTCTTTGAAGGAAAGGCTTTGTCGATTTCGGTGCTTAAATTCTCGATTATTTCTACTCTTTTTTGTTGGGTTTCAGGAAGAGATCATTGTTCTTTGGAGGAAGTAGTTGATTTTTTAGCCTCTTTGAAGGCTTGAGGCCTTTGTGGTCTTTTGTATTTGCTTGGGTTTCGCTCCCCTTCTGAGCGTTTTTTAATAAAAATTTTACTTATCAAAAAAAAAAAAATTTGGAGCTTTTTCTAGGAATTTACAGTGCTTACTGAACATATCAATAGTATGACAATAGTTTTTTCTTATAATTTTCAACCATCCAACTACAATGCACCGCCCGAAGAACCACATATATAGATACAAGACACAAATACGACACAACATGAACACAGAGACACAGCAAATTGTAAAAAAATTAAGAGACGGCAGGGAGGCGTTGACTAATAAATACTATATGATCCTGTATTTTAAAAGTAATATTATTTTCATCAACCTAAAGACGAAAAATTCACAAATCATAATAATTAATGAGCTATAAAGATAATTAATTTATTGTTTAAAGGCCTACATAATTGAAACTACTCCACAACAACAATAATTTTTTTTTAAAACCAAATAAACTAAATATTTTATGTCATGACCATCGTATTATTAAAAATTCAAAGTAGTCATCATATTCACAGATTTACCCACATTTCTTTTTAAAACTTTCTTAAACCTCCCTAATAATGAGACGAGTCCATGGGGTGTCCCAAAATTAAAATAATTAACAAATTCCGGGCAAGTCTTTTGGCGTGTCAAACAAGTGTCGGGCCGTGTCCAATGCGTGTCGGTGTTCGACATGGATTATTTGACCTTTCAGGTGTGTCCATGCTTCCTAGGCACATCATTACAACCCCCCACCCCCCAAAACACACAAAAATAAAATAAAATAAAATAAAATAACAACTTTTTTCTTGAGATGTGGTGTTTTCCCTTTGAAACAAAAAGAACTGAACTTCATCATCTAAAATTCTATATAAACACAATCTCTGGTTTAATGCCTGCAGCACTAAACCTTCAAAATATTGGGCTCCAATCATTTATCAAATGTAGTAATTCACACCTTTAGAAATTACATAAACACTTGTGCCCTCAGAATGTAGAGAGATAGATAATCCAAAGAACAGAACTTCACCTTTGGAGCGATTAGTTAGAGCTTCACGAAGCCTCAAGGGGTGCTGACGCTCTTCTTTCTTGTATTTCAACTTAACTTGCCTACGTGTCCGATCAGGGAAAAGTTGCTGTACCATTGATAAATCTGTACCAAACTGCCGCACCGCCTAAAACACACATCAAAGCAAATAGTGGCCGAAATAAATCAATGTAGTGGAGAGGGAAAATTTAATAGCCTATTCAATTTGAGCCTACATATATGCAATTTGTCTGATTGGAATCCATACTGATGAGGCATCACCAGAAATTAGACGAGTTGAAGCTTAGAATTTCTTTATCTGATCTCTTTGCAGTACCCATGTAATAGCCATGCCGTCACATACAGAGAATTGGGAACTACATTTAGAAATTACAGATTTGGTACTGAAAAATGAAATGGGATGTGAACAAGGCATCTAACTGAAGCCTTGAGATTGAATTGAGTATTTTAAGTTGGCTATACTGCTTTCATTGCAGTTGGAAAATTGTCAATCTGAATTGGGAATATTTAATCTTATTGAAACCTTACGCCCAGTTTGGTTTAAGATGAATGGAAGGAAAAGAAAGAAAGAAAATGTAATGGTGGTTACAGTATATTGTGTTTGGTATAAAATTTTGGATGGAAGAAAAAGGAAAATGAAGGGATTTGGAGGGATACAATAGGCATGAAAGGAAAATCTCATGTAGAGTTCTGTAGAGTGGCAATAAGGGCGATATCTGTCAACTTTTCCACTATCAAGTATAACCACAAAAAAACCAAACTCTACCTTACGTAAAGTTGACGGATTACGATTAACCTCTGGATCCGAAATTACTGCTTATACACCTTGTATTGGCCATAATTCACAAGAACATTCTGTAGTCTTAGTAAGAGGGAAGGGAATGGTGGTTACAGCATACTGTGTTTGGTATAAAATTTTGGAAGGCAAAGAAAGAAATTGGAGAAATTTGGAGGGATACAAATTAGGCATGATGAATAGGTTTGATGTCCTCCCAAAACTGGGAAGGAATAGAAGGAAAGGGCTACAAAGTTTAATAAAATTTCTTTAATACTGATTTGGCCCTCATTTAAAATAAATAAATAGAGACTAAAATACCTTGAGTCCTAGGACATGTTTTTATTCTACTTAACCATTTGTTTGCGTTCGGATTGTCACTTTGACTTGAATGATGTGTAGCATAATCATTATATTTGTCTTACCACTTCTTACCTATATATTTGTCTTTTAAATGTGAAAGGGTATAGTGGTAAATTTATTAAAATGTTTTCCTTTCCTTTCTTTCCCCAAGACTCATCATCATCCTCTTTGCCTTTATCCCATATTAATGAGGTTGGCCACATGAATTCCCTTTTTCTATTCTTTTCTATCATATATCTTTTCTTATATTTAATTTTTTAAGATCGTTCTTTATTACTTCATCCCATGTAAGTTTTGGTCGGCCTCTTTGACGCTTACATTCTAAGCAAACAACTCTTCCTCTTCTAACCAGCTCCAATGTTATCATTTATAGGCGCTATACCTAGTGTTCCCCTCACACATTCATTATTAATCTTCTCTCTTTGATTACTCATATCATCCAATGTAGCATCCTCATTTTCGTAACATGAATGCGTTGATGTTGTTGTTGTGTCTTTTTCAATGCCCAACACTATCCTCCATATAATATAGTTGGGCTAATAATTGTTCTATAGAATTTTCTTTTTAATTTATCTGGTATTTTGTTTTTCACAAAGGACACAACTAGCTTTCCTCCATTTTGTCCACCCCGCACCAATTCTACTTACTGCATCACCATCTACCCCCTCATCTTTTTGTACTATTGATCCTAGGAAACGACAAAAAGCTATTTTGAGTAACGTTTTGGTCTTGAATTGTAGTTCTTATATTTCCATCGTTTGTTACTTTCTCAAATTTACATTCCATATATAATGTCTTAGTTTTACTAATTTTTAAGCCTCTTGCCTCCAATGTCTTTCTCCATATTTCTAGTTTCGTAACTTTTGTTGCCAATGTCTTGGCACTCTATCTTATGCCTTTTCTAAATCTATGAAACCATATTTAAGTCTTTTTGGTTACTCTAATATTCTCCTATTATTTTCTTATTATGTGTGGCTTCGATAGTGGATCTACATGGCATAAATCCGAATTGGTTATTAGATATTGATATTTCTTTCCTTAATCTTTGTTCAATTATCCTTTCCCATAATTATATTGTGTGACTCATTAATTTAATCCATCTATAATTTCCACAATTTGGTATATCTCCTTTATTTTTATAAATTGGTACTATTGTGCTTTTCCTCCACTCACTTGGCATTCGTTCTTTTCTAAAAAAATTATTAAAACAACTTTGTTTACCAATCAATGCGTATCTTTCCTAAAGTTCTCCATGCATCTGGTCCAACCTTCTTATTATTACCCCTTTTCTTAAGTGTGTCATCTGCTTCCTTATTATTAATTTCATTTACCATTCCTATATAAGGTTCATTACTTCCGTAAATGTTGAAAGTAATTTTTTCATCTTTCCAATATATCTTCTTTTTTCCTTTTTTTTTTTGATAAGTAAGATTGTATTAAAGAAGCGTTCAAAAGGGGAGCACATCCCTCAAAAGCTATACAAGGCCATATAGGCCTCTAAAAGTCCAAAAAATCAACTATCTCCACCATGGATTTACAATTTCTCCCTAGAACCCAACAAAAAAGAGTGCTAATAATGGAGAACTTCATCGCACCTAGGTACTGGCAATGGGAGTCTCAAAAATACCCTAAAGTTTTGTTGGTAATATCTACATAAAATTTTTAATGTAGCAATACATTTTGGATCATTAGTTATTTATTAGATCGGTTTTGAAAAAGGTATCTAACTATCCAATTCTTAAAGAGCAACAAGGCCCTCCTTGGGAAATGGTTATGGAGGTTTGGTGTGGAGAGGCACTGGCTTTGGAGGCGGGTCGTGGCAAGCCGGTTTGGGAAGTTGAGAGGTGGTTGGAGCTCTTTGGAAGTGAGGGGGTCTCGGGGGGTGGGGGTTTCGAATTTTATTTGGAAGGGGTGGGATCTCTTCTCCAAACATGTTCGTTTTCAATTCAGAGATGGGAGGGGGATTAGTTTTTGGGAGGATGTTTGGTGTGGGGATGTTCCTCTGGCTCGTGCTTTTCCTCAGCATTACAGAATTGCTTCAAATAGGCAGGCCTTGGTGGTCAACTGTTATTATCTTGATAGTGGAAGACTGGTTTGGGATGTTCGATTCAGGCGATTGTTTCAGGACTGGGAGATTGAGGAGGCCATTCGTTTCTTGGAGTTACTGTATCACCAGAAGATTGTGGCTGAGGAGTCTGATAGTTGGACTTGGACTGCCAACTCTCAGGGGCGGTTTGAGGTGAGATCTTTCTTTAGGTGTCTCTCAAATGAGCCTAGAGTTTGCTTTCCTTGGAAGTCTGTTTGGCACTCTAAGGCTTCTCTCAAGGTGGCTTTCTTTGCGTGGACCTCTGTTCTGGGAAGGATATTAACCCAGGATAACTTGAGAAGGATGAACCAGGTGGTGGTCAATCGCAGCTACATGTGTCTTCGAGATGAGGAAACAGTGGATCACCTTCTTATTCATTGTACCATGGCTCGTGATTGCTCGAACTTAATGATTGGGCTATTTGGGATGCTATGGGTTATGCCGGGAACCGTTAGAGGGTTTCTTGAGGCTTGGAAAGGTTGCCAAGTGGGGGCCCATATTCGGGATGCTTGGAGGGCTACACCTCTCTGTGTGTGGTGGTGCTTATGGCTTGAGAGGAATAGATGATATTTTGAGGGAAAAGAGATGTCGATTTCTTTGCTTAAGTTTTCTATTCTTTCTACTCTTTTTTGTTGGGTTTCAGGGAGAGATCATAGATCTTTAGAGGAGATTGTCGATTTCCTGGCCTCTTTGCAGGCTTAGTGGCCCTTTGTGGGTTTTTGTATTCCTTTTGGGTTCCGCTCCCCTTCTGAGCGCTTTTATATGATTTTACTTATCAAAAAAAAAAAAAAAAAGAACAACAAATCAAAAACTACAAAAAATACTTGATAAAATTTTCTATGCAACACAATATATGCCCCAAAAAGGGTAACAGTAAGGAAGTAAATATGCAGTGTAGATATATATGTGTGTAATCGCAAGCGCATGAGTATATGTGTGTAATTGTCTGCGTATATGTGTATAAATGTCTTTATGTGTGTAACTGTGCGTGTCATGGGTTTGAAAAAAAGAGAGATGTGTATCAAACAGAACATGTCACCGAAGCTCTGTTTGGTAAGGTTGCCAGAGAGTTTAGTGGATCAATACGTGTCAAAGATGTAACGAGGGGTTTCTTGGATTTTGGGAACCTGCAACCTAGGTTGTAATCCTTTCTCATAGTGGATTTGGTTTTCCTAGACTAGGTCCTATGGTTTTTCCTACTTAGATTTTCCATGTAAAAGAGCTAAGTATCCATTTTTCTATTCTATGCATGAAAGATTTGACTGACTAATTTTGTAGACATAAATTTCTGTTATGATTTAAATTTTTGTGAAGTTAGTTTAAAACAATAATTTGAAATAAATAGTTGGCTTATCTGTAAATTTATGTAAATGAATATATACCTCGTAGAACAATTCCGTTTCCTGTTTCGACCACCTTGAAATGGGTGTTTTGTCCATGAAAGACTGATAATTATAACAGGTAGAGCTCTCCTGAACTCTAGGAATTGTTTGTTCAACGTCAGAGATTCCGCCATTATCTGAAGCAAGGGTCTCATCATTATAGTGGGCAAAAGAATTACTGCCACTGCAACCAAAATAAAAAATCAATAGATGACATATGACGTTGGAATACTGTTCAACAGGTTCCTAAGAGAAATGTGCCAGCTTTAAGACAAGCAATGTGTCACGAGAACAAAAATGGATATGGAAATGCTACAATCTAACCAAGCAACCATGAAAGACATGAAAATTTTGGCTGCCATTATGTTATCACATTCAAGGTTTAGCAATGCATGACCTCTACAATTCTACACAATCAAGATGATTTCTTGCCCCACCACTAGTCAACATTACTTTCCAATGCACTCCGCTTCATAGAATCAATGACAGTGGAGAGAGAGAGAGAGAATAATTATAACTTACCGTACACTTCATTATGCCAAAGAAAGCTAATGTATAAAAGAAGGAAAGGATGCATTGCCACTTATTAAAAATAAATAAATAAATAAAAAGGGTGCATTTCCACTTAGCAGCTTACTTATGCATGACGCATCCAAATCCATTCCAATATAATCAGATTTTACAAACATAGAGTATTCGCAGAATGTAATCTGGCAAAGAAATTACAGAAATATACATTGCTTCTTGTTAGGTCATAGGACATAGGACTTGGGTTGGTTAATTTCATTCAAAACTTGGTCTATATTTTTATTTTAGCATAAAGCTTCAAGCAAGGGCAAAAAAGTAATTGCAACTAGCCAAAATTGAAGTACATTATGCATATACATTCATGTTTTAAACATATTAGGATTTACAAATACATGTTTTGATTCATAAAACTCCATATAAAATTGCTTTTGGAAGTTTCCATTTTCAAAATCTCAAGAATCCAAAATAGGATAACTTTGATGGATCAAGGGATTTGTTACTGGAGTACTTTTGATCAATAGAAATTAGTTCAAATCGATTGAACCTGCATGAATGAGTTTCCATATAGAATTAAACACTTGCAACCCCAATCCTTTCATACCTCTAAACTCTACATAAGACTTTATGGTCTCATAAAATAAGAGGCATCCAAGTAATCATAAGTCAACCATATATAATCATATTGAGTGCATTCTAGCAATTCATATGCTAGAATTTTCTTTCTTTGTGCATTTATCAACATACATCGAGATGATTAACGTGAACTGAGTTCTGAAATTTAGAGATCCTAGTGCAACGACTTTTCGACACCGGAAGTATTTTCCACACATATACATAAAACATACATCACTAGTCAAGGGATCATTGTGCAAAAGAAGAAATGCATGAGCAGTAGATTCATTGACTAGTAGCAGCAGATTTCGAGGAGAACGTATGGCAAAAATTTGGGTCAGAAATAACTGGGAAATTCTTGATCTAGAATCTGATTAACCTACTGTGTAATACTTTTTCTCATTTGATCAATTTAGACTAGGTCTCATGGTTTTTCTTTGTTGGGGTTTCCATGAAAAAATCATGAGTTTCCTTACTTTCTCTGTATACGCAAACATGAATAATTTTTACATGCTTACAAGTTAGTTGAAATTCAAAATATAGTTATTAGTAGCTTAAATTTTGATTTTTAGTAAAATTTGTTAATAAACCTATTCAACCCCCCTAGGTCTAGGTCACGATTTTCGAGTACTCGAGTGTAGGATTACGATCTATGATCCTTCATATATTAATGCAGATACTTAAAAAACAACATAACTTGGAATGCTTAAATCATCCGGTCAACATAACAGCTGACAGCCAGTGTCAAGTATCTAAAGCCACTAAACCAGCTTATTCAAGTCCGCTTATTTTTCCTTCTTCGACTTTGCCTGTATAATTAACATTGGTTTTTTGCAGCTGTTGTACCATCAGGAGGTCGAGAGTGGAGGTTCTGATTCCTGCATGTGGGTTCCCTCTTCCCAGGGCCGTTTTGAGGTTTAGTCTTTTTATAGGTGTGTTACGGATGCCCCGGGAGTTTCCTTTCAATTGAAGGCTATTGGTCCAAGGCTCCTCTCAAGGTGGCTTTCTTTGCATGGACTTCTGTGTGGGGGAAAATATATCGACTCAGGAATATTTAAGAAGGAGACAGGTTGTGGTCAACTGGTGTTGTATGTGCTGATCATGTCCTTTTGCACTCTCCAGTGGCTAGGGCCTGCTGGGCTTTGTTGTTGAGTTTGTTTGGGGTTCGGTGTATTATGCACAGGTCCTCCAGAGGGCAGTTGAGGCTTGGAGAGGTTGTACAGTGAGGGCCCAAGTCCGAGATTTGTGGAGGGTTGCGCCTTTGGGTTCTAATGGTGTTTATGACTTGAAAGAAATAGGAAATCTTCCTTTTGAGGGTTGCGCTCCCTTCTTAGCGCCTTTTTATACAAATCTTATGTAACATCCGTGATTTTCTATTTATAGCTACCTAAGTGATACATCATATACATATACATATATTGTGACCAGTTGAGTGGATAAGATATTTAAGAATTTGAATTAATTGAAGGTTGTGATGTTGTGGCCCGATTTTGGTGCCGGGTCGTGTTGCAACCCACTTACAACCCGACGACCCGTTTGATGAGTTTTGTGTAGGACAGTCCTTTTTGACCCCTTTTTGCTCAAGGGTCGTGGGCCCTAATTAGTACTCTTTTGTAGTCCAATATGTAAGGGTGTTTAGGGTTTGTACTGGGTGTAAGAGAACACTGAAATTTGTACAGAATTGAGAGTGAGGGGCTGAAACTTGTAATCCCCTATTTTACACATAGTGAAGACTTTCGCCGGATCTCCACCGTGAACGTAGGCTTTGCCGAACCACATACTAATCGTTGTGTTTTTTGCTTGTGTGTTTATTTTTCTGCCGTGTTTCGTAATTGTTGCTTGTTTTGCTGCGTTTGTCATAACAAATTGTTATCAAAGCTTTCGGTTCGAAGAAGGGATGGCGTCCAAGTTTCTGGATATCGAGAAGTTAACAGCAGAAACGATTTCAACCTGTGGGATGTAGGCTCTGTTGGTTCAACAAAGGTTATCCAAGGCGCTGATGGGGAAGGATGCACTGCCAAAAAAGATTAAGGACAAAGATGAGGTTATGGAGAAAGAACACAGTACAATTTTGTTGTGCCTAGACTAATGAGGTTCTGCGAGAAGTTGTTGTAGAGACTACGGCGGAAGGGCTGTGGAATAAGTTGGAGTCCCGGTATATGACAATAACTATTGCGAACCGTTTGTATCTGAAGAAGCGGTTGTTCACTCTTCAGATGCACGAAGGCTCATCTCTCAAAAACCATCTTGACAAGGTAAATAGTATCATCACTTGAATAATATTGATGTCAAGATAGAGGATGAAGATCAAGCTATTATTCAGTTGTGTTCTCAACCACCCTCGTATGAAAACTTCGTCGATACGGTGATTTATAGCAGAACTGCTTTGTCATGGAAGATGTGAAGGCAGCTCTGAATTCCAAAAAGTTGCAGAAAAGGGCGTTTGAGGGCAATACAGAAAGTTCGGTAGAGTGGCTAGTTGTTACAAGGAGAACGAGTCAGAAGGAAGGGTCTAGTAGCAAAAATCGTTCTAAGTCGAAGAACCAGGCGAGGGTGCTGAGATGCTACATCTGTCGCAAGAAAGGGCACTTTACGAAAGACTATCCGCAACGTAAGAAGGGAAAGGGAAAATCCTCTGCAATTGATAGTTTGGTTGTTGCAGAGGGTAATGATTCAAATGGTGGTAACGTTCTCATAGTCAAAGCGTCTATATTCGACTATTGATCGAACCTCACTAGATCTGCATCGATCGAAGCTCACTGGACCTCCGTCAATCAATCAACCAAAACCTCGAGTGGTCGAGCTATTATTGAATATTGATATAAGGTTTCAGCTCCAGTTTTCACAATAATCAAATTTTTTGCTTAGTTTTGAAAAAACATTCAACTTTAAAACATGTTAAGCGCTAACCCATGTCACGTGGACTCTTCAAAAGTAGTGAAGTACCTGTGTTGGACACGTATAGCATGGACATGGGTTTGGAAAATGTATCTAACACTTTTGGGTGGACATGTACTTAGAAAGCATATCCAATAATTCAATTATGTTATATTATTCCTTTAAAATGAGTTAAATGCCTATATTGAACACTATATTAGATTAAAACATTATTTTACTCTAGAAGATGAAATAAAATAATTAAATAAAATGAATATTTAGCAGTGTCCATGGATCGTGTTTCGAGATCTGACACGTCCGACGCATGGATACATACCCGTGTTCAACAAACATACCAGAGTCCAAGAAACATAGGCGCCAACCCATAAAATAAAATAGGCTAACCTAAGGACAATCCAAGTTCAGTTACTTGCAACCTATCCAAGTGACTGAATATCCATCTTTCTTTCATGTTGTGTCTGCCATGTCTTGAACTGATATTCTTGATCAACTCAACAACATTCCAACACTTTATAAAAGTATGTTTTGAGGAGGAATATGCCAATACATGGCTTCATTCCCTAACAATTTTATCTCGAGTTATTCTATCTTATCACAAGAATGTTCAGCCAGTAATGATTTTTAAGCACCATCAAATATGACAAGTGATTGAATATCCATCTTTCTTTCATGTTGTGTCTGCCATGTCTTGAACTGATATTCTTGATCAACTCAACAACACTCCAACACTTTATAAAAGTATGTTTTGAGCAGGAATATGCCAATACATGGCTTCATTTCCTAACAATTTTATCTCGAGTTATGCTATCTTATCACAACAATGTTGAGCCAGCAATGATTTTTAAGTACCATCAAATATGACATATGCAGGAAGTGATTGGAATTAGAAAGGGTGTGGCATTCTGCTTCAACAATTGAACCAGTATATGGTTCTCAAAACAAGCAAATAGAAAATAAAATGAACCAATCTGTGGGGAACCTTATCTTTAGCCTATTTAGGCCTTAGTATTGACATAAAAAATTACAGAAGCATGCCGTGATTCAAGGTCAATACATGTTTCAGGCATGCTGAGTAGAAAGTTCAGAAAACGCAAAGGTAAGACCTTTATGTTAACCTTTGTTGTGTGGACACAAGATTTCACAGTT